GACTAAAATCCGGTTGAATCAAGTTCATGAACTATTCACTGAGCTCCTGAAAAGTCCCCTAAGCAAAAAACTAGTATTTTCACTGAGATTTCTCATGAAGAAGTAAGTGGGACAGAAATCAATACCCGCTTAGGGCAACCTTGATACTCTTCAGATGGGTCCAAGCAGCAGATGGCACCTCCCAGACCATACTAAAGTCATCATCAGGACGAACGGATCCTGATCGTGCAGCCAAGTCCCTTACATGGCCATAGCTTGGAATAACTTCAAACATATCACCAAGATAGCCTTGAATAACCTTTGCTTTTGTAACAGATTCTACAACCACAACAGATCTCCCCTCAGGAGGATAAAAAGACTTCAAAATCCTCTGACTTGGCGAACTCACTTTGTTGATTGCTTGATCTTTCTTTTCTCCCATTGGCTCAACAGATGTCTTCACAGATTTTTGTTTAGAATTTCGCACTTTCTTGCCCGAACTTTTTTTTGCAGAAGCAGGAGCCTCTAGGAGTTCCTTCGAGTCAGGATGACTTCCGCCTGACTTAGCCTGCAAAACTAACATCAGTTAAGATATCATAGCATGATTAAAAAAAAAAAGTACTCCTAACTATTTCCAGATTTGCAATCACCAACCTTCAAATTCGATGCAGACAAGGATTCACCTTTCTTCTGGTCTGACACTTCTCCTTGAGCAGCACTTTTAGAATCTTTCTTCAAAGGATCACGCTTTTGTTCTTTGCTCTTTTTGCTCCGTGCAAGCTCTCGTCTCCCTATGCTCTTATCCTGTTTAGCACCACTAGCAAGTGATGTCACAGATGATGAACTCAAGTTTACTTCTTTTGCTGTATCAGCAATTTTTTCTTGGACATCTACGGAGATATCCTCTTTCGAAGATTCTGATACAATGGGCGAAGAAGCAGCAGACTTTTTACTTTGAGCAGCCAACTGCTTTGCCTTCTTCCAATTTTTTTTGAAACCCTTAAAACCCAATCCAGTGACACCTCTTATCCCATCCCTTACGGAGGCATCATCATTTTGATTAAATGGTCGAGAACTTTGAGAGTAAAACCTGGTAGCCAAAGCTTCATTACCAGGGAATTTCAATCGAATGCTAAAGAATGAACTGTCTGCTGCAATGCTCGAAAGTACAGGTCTAGCATGTAAAAGGCCAAAAGACAGACCGCCATGAAACCTTGTAAAGCCATTAACAGCTTCCTGATTTTTAAGATGTTTAGTCATGAGCGCACTAGGTGTGCTTCGAGTTTTAAGGTTAAATGACCTCGTAAACAGTTCTCCAGTACAAAATGAAGTTGAGCAAATCGACATTCCCCGATGATTAAGAAGCGTCCCCTGCTGCAACTGCAATAACAGTTACAAACAACAAGTCAAATTAGTATAACCAATCAAATCAAATGACAGCACATTCACAACCACACAAACTTAACATGCATATGTATTGCTAAACAAATCAATTTTCGACCCTTTACTCAAAAAGCATCCACGGTTCTCATTTCTACTCGCACTCCACTTCTCTTTTGGTCAGCAAACGAACACGTTCTTACCATCTCCGAAGCACAAAATACAAAAGAAGGGAAACTCTAGGATCTGCAGACCAAGGTAGCAAGTTAAGACCCCATTCCACATAACCTCCCCATACCCACCATTCTCAAAAACAGAAAATCTAACCAGCACAATGCAATGCCGCCTAGACAAATTAAGGGTCAAATTCTTTTCTGTTCTTTTTTTTTTTTTTCATATGGGGTCAAGAATTCAATTCGGCAGCTGAAATTGATGAGCAAGAACCTGAGCCATGGTGGTCCGAAGACGGCGGAGCGAAGACAATCGTGGGTCGGCGGCCGATGACGATAAGCTCCTACTCAGTCGGAGACTCATTGCAATGGCGCTACCATTGGCCTCCTGGCTTGTCACCGCCCCCCTCCTCTCGCTCCTCCTCCGGTACGCACTGGGGTCGACGTGCAAAGCGTCGGGTGTGTTGAATTCGTAGGGAGAAGCAGGGTGGAGAGCGGCAACGAAGCCAAGGACAGAGGCTGTCGAGGTTGAGGCTGGTCGGTGAGGGTTAAGGATACAAGAACGTCTCGTTGGGGAGGCTTTAGGCGCCTTTCATAAGGGTTAAGCTTCACCGTCCGCTTTTCAAGATATACCGTCGGGTCGGGTCGGGTTCCTACATTGCCCAGATTAAGTGGTAGAGGGCCGCAACAATTTGGTCAGGTAAATCATACCGCGAACTGAACTGATGAACTGAACCGGCCGGACCTATTCGAGTTGGGATCGGGAATCCAAACTTGAAGCAGGAGCCGACAGCACCAAGCATAATGCAAGAGATACTAAATCCGGTATGTTGGAATGGTTTACAAGATGAGGATGATTTTGTGTCACAAGCGGTTATTCAAGTTAAGGGACATCTAAGCACCAAAGAGGAATTCATCTTTTTAAGGATAGAAATTTCTGTATATCTTGGACGGCATAATTCAAACAAAATACAAGTAACGAGAAATATATTGAGATTGGTATTATGGATCGGTTTACAAAATCACATGACCAGTCATAATTGATTATTTAATTCACTAGATACGTGTAAAAATCCGACGGAAAACTCAAGTCTCTACATAAACTTCTTGTGTATTGTTGGTAGTGTCTCTAATGCTATTCTACATAACAAGTCTCTTTTGTAGTTTATGGTGGGCTTCCAATAGACCTGTCAAATGGTGAACTTGGGATCTCTATTGACCACCAACCGATGAACCTAGAAACCCAGCAACCCCCACACAAAAAGAGAGAAAAGATTAGTCAACAAAACACCAATTCCCCAGCACAAACCCAAACACCCTCGAAAACAAAATTGTAGGAAAACTCGACAAAAAAGGAAGCAAATAGAGAAAACCCAATACCCGGAGACAAAAAAGCCAGTCCCTTCGAGCCCCGCCGAGTACAAGAAGCTCGGCTCGTCGCTTATCGGCCTCCCTTTGAGCTATGAGACTCGATTCGTCAAGGCAAACAAGACGAAGACCAAGTACTCGATCGTCATCGGGGGAGCGAACTTCGTGAGCACATACTGGAGGCGCTCGGGACGGCGGGAGTCGAGGCGATGGTGGCGGAGTCGTAGGCTCAGATAGTCCTCAGGAATTTAGCGGCGATCGGAGAGATTTAGCCATAAGAAACGAAGTTTAGGGTTTGCGCGTAGTGCAGGACGGGCGATATTGAGTCGTCGGAGAACCTCGGCTATGACGGAGATGGGCGGCGCATCGGAGATGGGCGGCGCAAAGTCGGCGATAGCGGCGGAGGTCGCGGAAGCAATCAACGAAGAAGACGGAGAGAAGATCGTGAAGTGAGAGGGAAATAATGAGGCGGGCATTTTTTTCATAATGGGTTATTAAAATGGGTCGTAAATGGGTTCAGAATATACCCATTTAAGGCCCATATGTTTTGGCCTTCTTTTATTTAAAACTCATTAAGACTGATCTGGAAAAAAGAGAATGACCCATTAGCGATCCATTTAAACAAACGCGGGTTCATAAATAGGTTTTGGACCCGTTTGACAGGTCTCGCTTCCGATAAGCCATCTCACACACATCCATGCTTCTCTCATCTTCACTTTAGATTGGGGATATCAACTTCATAAAAGTGTGTTGGCATCAAATTGGCCCTAAAGGGGCTTAAGACCAGATATTTCCTAATCCATTATCATCGTTGTGTGAGTAGATTGGTTATTATTTAGAAGAAGGTATAATGGCACTAATGATTCATTCATTTTTACTAGAAGTTCAAAAATCATCTCGGTATTTTCCTTGTCCAGAAACCGTTCATGTACTTCATAAAAAGTCACACCCAGTCATCCTTCTTCTGTTCCGATGACGGATTTGTTTTACCGACGGGGAACTTTTGGTTGTTTTGACTTACAAGGACTCTCCCCCGTTCCTCTCTGTTTGTGACCATCTCTTCCTTCTTTCTCCTCTCTGTTCTACACCTGTTTTCTTCTTTATTCTCGCAGCCACCATAGCCATGGATTTCGAGCTTAAGCCCAAAGCTAGCGGCCGCAGAGCTCAAGGTCATGGTAGCCACGACAGCTCAAGATTCAAGATCGCGAGCAAGGCCGCTCCACTCTCTCCTCTTTTCTTTCTATTGTGCCATATCGCGGTATTCATGGCCTTTCTCTCTCTTCTATTCTTTCTATCAACGCCTCTCTCTATCTCTTCTATTGCCACCTCAAGCTTGCGGCCATGGTCGCTTGAGCTTCAAACTTATGGCCGTATTAACCAGAGCTTCCTCGATCCAGTTTCTTGCAACCCCCGGCTAGTGCTCAAGCTCTCACGACGATGGCTGTTCCTGACGTTATTAGTCATGGCCGCTCAAATGCTTGAGCTCAAGCTCTTCAAACTCAAGGCGATGGCGGCTAGATAAAAGACTCATGGTCAGGGACACTCTATGCAGAGTCTCGGAGCCACCACGGACACGGAGCGGCATGGTTGACATATCTAAAGCCCGCGGCCGTGGATGCTTGAGCTCGAGCTTGCGGCAACCACAGTTGCTTGATCCCCGAGCTCATGGCCTTGTGTCATGGAAAAAAGTTTGTCACGTCATCAATCCAAAGGATCGCCACATCATCGATCCCAAAGGGGTTCTTTAAAATCGTTAGATTGACAACGGAATTCGATCTCTACCATTAGATTTATTTGACAAGGATTGATGCCTTCAACCGTTGGATAGATTCAATCTCCACTATGGACTAATGTAACGATGATCAATATCCAACACCGTCGATCAAGTGGATCTCTTCCCTCATTGAAAGAAGGACCATTCTGAGCATGCATAAGAATGGCTGATCACTGTCTAGTAAGTGGTAGAGCGCCGCCATTCCTCCCATACCAGTGCCTGATCCTCCGCCAATACCAAGACCACCCCCAAGTCCAGACTCATCCAGTAATAGAGCTTGAAGCATGGCAACTGACTTCTTTACCAATGGAAGTTCAATCCAGTTTCCATTTGCATCTTTTTCCAAAGCAGACTTCCAGCATTCCCAGCCACTACCTCCACCACCAAGGACAGAGGCTTTTGATGGAAGGCCGACACCATACCATATCTGGCTCCTAAATTTCCAACCCTCCGCTAAATCAACTGCACAGCTACCGTAAGACACAAAAGCACAGGAAACAGATTCATAAGGCTCAGCTGCAGCTGCAGCAGTCAGACGCTCCATAACTGCAGCAGATAATTTGACCATTAGCATCAGCCATAGAAGCAAGCACCTGAAAGAAGATAATTGCCAATTCCACAATAAGATATAGGAATGTGTCCACAAAATAACAGGAAAGAGACAGAAAACTAATTAACGACAGTACTCCTTTTCAGCGTACACCGAGGTAGAGAACTACTATTCACAGAAGTAACAGGAAAGCTGATACACTCAGTAAAGGTTCCTCCTACATTTGGAGAAAAGAATCAGGAAGGATTCTTGCAGCATGACTTCTTACATTTTAGTAAAACAAAAAACTAACAGGCAAATGGTTAGAAGAACAGCTCGTTTTCCCCGACTTTCCAACAATTCACTTGATTTATGGAAAACGACTGGATTCGCAGCTTTTAATAAAAACTATTCAATTTCACAAATAAATGAAAGAGAAAGGCGCAAAAGAAAATAAGTACATAAACAGATAACATATACAAGTGAAAATAGACCGTTTGTTCTAGCAAATCTTGACATAATACATACATCAAGAGGGAGTCCAGCAGAATCACTGAACAATGATCAACGGTCATCCATAGGTTCTGATGACTCTCCAATATTTGTTGATGAATTTGAGCAATTACCCAACGGAGATACAAGAGAAAGGGGAGCAGGGGAAATATCAGTGGCCCTTGATGCATTAGATAATTTGCTTTGCAATCGTAAATGATCTTCAACAAGCATCAACATCACTATTGCATTCTCTACAAGAGCCACAGAGAGCTGTGCAGCATTCTCTGCTTCCACTTTTGCCTCTTTTGGGGATAACCCCTCGGCTGCAACACCAGCAGCTGCTGCAGCAATAACTTGAGTCTGTTGCACAAGTGACACATTTAGGAAAGATGTCAGACTTTTCACCCTATTTTTCATCAAAAGGTCTAAAGCATATATAACTATGCTAGAGGAAAAGCAGCACAAAAACATTATCAGTGAATTCCACAAGTGGCATGAAAAACCAAGACAGAATGCTTGAGATGAGAGACTGAGGTTATGGCATATCACGTCACGTTAATTAAGGAGGTCTTTCTAGTCAACAGATAATGACTGACTTCAGCTTATCAAGAAAACTTAAATGGAATGATGAAACAAACTTCTAGGCTTTACCTGAACTTGTAATTCTCTAGCAGCAAAGTCCAGCAAACCACACAGAAGCCTTCTCTTGAAAATAGGCAAGGATTCCTCACGTCTTCAGAGAACCATGAAAGTTACACATTGCATGCAAGGGAACCAATAAGTATGATTTGACAAAAAAGATAACTAAGTGTTTTGTTATTAAACATATTCAGGCCATTTTCCATTTAAGTTAAATCATACAAACAAATTAGATTAGCCTATATTAGTATGAGATGTGTTCAATCAGAGCTTAAGTTAAACCAGTAAGATTTTTCTTTGATCTACAGTGACTAATTTCTTTCAGATAATGAAAACATATAATCTCGGTCCTGTACAATTAAAAATGAATATTTAGTGCACTTTACACTAACTCATTGATGATTTTCCTACTCTTGTAAGCTACATCACAAGACTGAGAAACAATTTGTTTTTTAAAGAATAATACACATTTCATAAATCTCGAATTGCACACGAGTCTAAAATCACCAATAACTAGATAAACGTTTGAGAAGCAGAAAATTACTGAAATAGTTAATTGATCGATTAAAATGTGTTAAGACCACTCCCTACCAATGAAGTCAAACCAAAAGGCGAAAAAGCAGCTACATAAAAAGAGCATTGTGACTTTATGCATGAGGTGTGAAAGTAAAGTTATTGCTGCCATTAGAAACGACGCTAATTTGTCATTTCAAGGATAATCAACTGTAAATCCTCCATTTTAGATACTTAAAAAACAAAATAAGTACGAAAGCAACAACCAGTAAAATACTGATACCTAATTCGTTGATCTCCTGTACTAGAACCACCAACTATAGAGAGCCATTCAGCACAGTGAATTGTAGCTTCAATATCCTGCAAGAGAAAGAACTACTAAGCAAACTGCACAACTGAAACTGCTTTAAGTCATAAACATGTAAAATACACAAATCCGCCAGTCAACAAAGAGAAACACTCGTCTCTTGGTAGCAACACAAACAAATCACCTTGGCATGCTATCTACGTTACTATAGTTCATGGCAGGCCATTTCTAAAGCACCACCAACCAAGCAAGTCATAAAATAGGTCGTCTTGCAACACAAGTATGAAAATATCATCGATGAAGCTTTACAATAAAAAAAGTGACAATCCCAGAACAATCAAATATTCTTAGGAAAAGATTACTTTTATAATAAACTCATGTAAGCGTGCATCTAGGTCAGATGTCCACATCCTAATTCACTGCCCCAGAGTGAGAAAACTGGGGCAAACCATGTGGACTATCAGCAATTTATTGGCTGAGGATTCTACGGTTAGGGAAGAACTTTGGGTTTGGAATGGGTTTGTTATGTAAATAACAAAGAGCGAAGAACAATGTTTTCTGCAATCCCTCCAGCAATGCTCTGCCTTACTTGGAGGGAGAGAAATGCGAGAGGTTTTGAGAGTTTAGAATCAAATTTGGGATAAGTGCATTCAAAGTCCTAAAACTTGTCACGAAAGTGCAATTGAGTCCTAAAACTTTCAAAAAGAGTCCTAAAACTTGTCAAAAAGTGCACTTGAGTCCTAAAACTTTCAAAAAGTGCAAACAAGTCCTAAAACTTGTCACGAAAGTGCAAACAAGTCCTAAAACTTGTCAAATTGATTCAATCAAGTCCTTCCATTAATTGTACTTTTTGATCAAGTCCTTCCATTAATTGTACTTTTTGACAAGTTTTAGGACTTGTTTGCACTTTTTGAAATTTTTAGGACTCAAGTGCACTTTCGTGACAAGTTTTAGGACTTGTTTGCACTTTTTGAAAGTTTTAGGACTCAATTGCACTTTCGTGATAAGTTTTAGGACTTCTAGTGCACTTATCCCATTTTCTTTGATGTACAGAATAGTTGGCAACATGTTTTGAGTTATTGAGTTTCCATAAAACCACTTTCCAATTTGGATAATAGGTTAGACTTTGAAGTTTCTTCTTAGTTTTTTTTACAGTTGTAGTACCGCCTTGGTTCCTTGCTTATTGTTTCTTTTTCACTTTGAAAGGGGTAAACGTTGTTTCTGCAGTAAATGAAAATTCGAAAGTAAATGATGCCCTAAATAAAATAATGCTTGACATCTTAATTTACACTTACGTTTTGAATGGAATTTAACTTTTTTAGTTATGTGATGCTATTTTTCTGATTTGAACCCGAAGGAATAAGGGTATATGATGTTATGGTTCTTTTTTGCATGTGTTATGGCATGGTTAGGGGAACTGATTCTATGAGAATTGTGAAATTAAATTTGTCTCTTGATCAATTTTTAGTTTGGAGTTTTCTGAAACATTCAGTTTGGTGAAATTTTAGATAGGACCTCACCGTCCTTGTTAACAAAGCAAGTTTGACTACCTTGATGGTAGTCCCTTGCTACATTTTAAATACAGTACACCACATTTATTGAATTAAACATCTTGGAGGGAGTCAAGTAAATTAAAGAATTATCAGAATTACAGTTTAACCAAAGAATCTGTACATACTCTACAGCATAAAAGGCCTAGCTGTAGTGATCATTCTAGTCAATTACTTTGGCATACATTCAAGTCAATCTTAGAAAAGGGTTCTGAAAATGGAAGCAAATTTCATATATTGAAGCTATAATGAAATGCCAGTCTTTGGCTGGGTCAAATTAAGTAAAGAACCGCCACCTGGAACAATAAAGATCCAGTATTCTGTAAGCTCAATGTGCCATAGCACGCCAAGAAACAACAGCAAGGATGCAACTATCAAGGACCACTGGCCCCAACAATGAAATGCCACACAACATCAACATCAAGAACCTTATATTAAGTTGGAAAAAAGAGGTATCATCAGGTTACATAAAAAGACAAACCTTCCAACCATCCTTCTGGCGCATTGAATACTCTAAGTTGATTATCAAGAAGTTGTGTATAAGATCCTCTATATCTACTAAGCTTGGTGAAGTAGAGTGGTTAACGGCACCCATCTCAAAAATCAAGTAATTATGATAGGCATCACCTCCCAAAGAGAAGGCATCTCTTGTAACAAGAAATACTGAACTAGAAGTTGAAAATATGTCTTTCTGAATACTGAAAACTCTTACATTCTGCAAATACCTACATTTTGTTTGTTGTTTTAATTTTTTTAAAACTCTAATTCTACTCATTTGACCACATCAGCTTTTCTATCGCCAACCCATCTTTTGTGGCTCTAACTTAGCCAATGGTCCACGTCGGCCACAATCATTTGGAAAAGAAAAAGAGAGAATTAACCGAAAATTCAAAAAATAATTTTTTTCTTCGTTTGCTCTTGCTGGCTATTGATATAATGTGAAGGTTCAAAGCAATCTTAGTTGATAACTGAGAGCAAGATTTAACTAAAGCGTGTAGTCAACTTCCATGACCAACTTCCCAGTGATCTTTCAATTTTGCAAGACATGGGAGGAAACAGCAGCTTCCGGTCAAGAAAGACCCTCTAGTCAAGCAGACAACACAGTGTGTAATAAATCTCTGCAAAAAGTTGGTAGACTACTGGCTTCATTTGCCTTTGTTATGTTACATGAATCATCTCGACATGGTTAATTGGTAATGAAAGTATATGACTCAACACAGCATTGCCTCTGGTACATGATCATTCTATCATTAGAACCAGACCATGTTTAATGACACTAAAGGAGGTTGTGGCCCAAGAGGTTTGCTCGATGATATCCCGGTACTCGCCTCTGTGAGTTGTGTCCAGAAATATCCAAGGTCTTTAGCGGCTTCAAATCCAGGACAAATTCACAACAATCTCTTACTAACAGTTGCTCTGGATATTCAAATTTTGAGTCGTGTCGTTCAACATTTAGCTTTTCACAGTAAAGAGAAGCTGATGTTTCACTTTTTTAAGGTGTCAGAGCAAGATAACTCTGGTAATTTTTCAATGGCCCTGTACCAAGAGATATCCATCTCTTCCGAGAAATCCAAACTATCAACACCTCGAAAATCAGGTAGATTGTTGCGGCCTTTAGCAATTAATTCTAAGATGTTTTAATTGTTGAAAACTCCAATCTTTTGATGGACGAACAACAAGCGATATGCAGTTCTTCCATGAACTCCAACTCATAAAGGCCTCAAATCTCAACTAGATTAAAGTAAGATGTGATCTCTAGTTGCCTCAGACGATTTAATACTAAAAGGTCCAGTAGAATTTTAATGGACTTGCACAAACTGATACTCAGTTCTTCCCGGTAATTCAATCTGTCAAGCCCTCAAAAGTAAGCTAACTCTATCAGTCCCAATTTATTTGTTGGAGATATCAGTACTTCAGGACCATATTTCAATCAGCTCATTAGCATTCTTTTAGCTCCAATTCATTCGAACTTAGCACGTTCCCAAATAAGAAGCTTTATTAGTCTCGGGGAATTATCTGGGAGGCATGCCAGCCATGAGCTTGACTGAAGAGTCCGTTCCTTTAAATGGATTATACGAGATAGCTACAAATGGGCGACTCTTGCAGGTGACTAGCAGAAGTGTTTAACCCTGAAGGAAGCTCCGGCAGCAATTGAAGCTTGTAGCAGTACCCTAAACCAAGATTATAAAGAGAAGAAAGCTTATGGATGCTTTCCGGAAGCAACTGAAGTTCCCTGTAACACTGTACAAAGTGTTGGAGAGAAGAAAGATTTCCAATGCTTTCTGGCAAGTCGGAGATGGGTGTATACTCTAACTCAATCCTATTGAGGAAAGACGAGCAACTGATTCTCTTGAAATTCCCCTAGCAATTTAACGCAGAGCAAGGCACTAAACTCTTGAAGCTTGACCAACCTTCGAAAAGTATTGGGTAACTTTCTTATCTTTGTAAATTTTCTAAAGATTCAGGTAACTCATAATGCTCGAACTGGACAAGTTTAGTTTAAAACATCCCCATTGAGTCAAAATCTTTCTCAATGAATTTTATAATGATAAATGGTGCAGTTTCATGAGGAAGCCAATGGCCTCCAGAAGTTGAGTGAAATTTGTACAGAAACTCAAGTCAAGGGTTGACAAATTTACAAGATTGCTTATTGAGTCAGGAAGTCCAATAATGACTGATAATACTTGACATTAAGAGTCTCCAACTTCTTCAGAGAACCTGAAAATGTAGAAATTTCTCGTATAGCTGATCTATCCTCCGGATTCTTACAGTCCCTCAAGTACAAGGAAACGATGCTCTTGACCTTTCCGATAGAAGAGTGAATTCGTTCCCATGAGTTGCATCGTTTGAAGATTTGAGTCTCCAAATTTGTAAAGGAGTACACCCTGAATATGCACAACCAATAAGCTTGAGAACTTTTAGCTGCTTTGCCATCTAGAGGAATGAAGATATTTTGGGATTAGCTATTGAAAACAAGTGGACTTAAAAATATAGAGAAGAGGATGTGCTTTTCCATCTTACCATGACCAAAATCCATCCTCCGCTGAGCTCTGAAGTAGTGCTCCGCGACAAATCTGAGTACAACTAATTTTCCGATATGAAGATTGTTTGCGACAAAAGATGTAGGGCAAGTCATCCACAAAAGCCATCTTAATTCAGATGATAATTTCTTCAAATCTCCACTAAAATTCTCACCTCTTGCTTAAAGGAACCTTAAGTTCTACAAATTTTGAAACTTTTCACTTTTGTATACTCGACACCCGTGGTCAACTATATCATATGTGCCATCTCTCTCAAAACAAATGGCCTGAACCTTTTTAGAACCCTACAAGCAAAACACTGGATATCATTAATATTGCATCATATGTTAGAGAAAAAGTTCAGGCCAACACAATGTATATGACATATTACTTTACAATTTCCTCGCATATGAAGCTTTACACATGAAACCATATTTGAACGTTAACACATCACACAGACAACTGCAGACCAAAAAACAAGCACAATAAAAACAGTAACAGACATAACAAAAACAAGGAGTGCCAAGATTAGAACTTGTGACCCGTTCTGATATCATTCTAGACAAACCTTTTTTCTTTAAAGGTTAAGCTGTTAAAAAACAAGCCAATAATATACAGTAACAAAGCCAACTAAAAGCGAACTGATTATCTACTTTTCTCATAATATCACGATTAAGGACTCTCATTGTAAATTTTGCGATATGGAAAAAGAGCCACTAGTTAACATCTTTTAATGTGCTTATCACATCAAGCATCTGTTTGGTAAAGCTGTGGCTGTGTTGTAGTTGTTCGCGTTATGACTGTAGTGAAGCATTGTAATTTATGTGCTTAGAAATACATGTTTTAAAGCTGCAACATCCCTCCAGCTTCTTTACATTTACTACTAGAAATTTTTTATAAGGGCATTTAGAAAAGAGGTCAGGAAAAATAGCCTAGAAACAGGAGCGCTCTTGCCATTATGCAATTTAATAGGTAAGAAGTATTAAATAACAACAGATGTTACATATTGGATTGAATAGATACATTAGAGCTAAAAGAGCAGGGATAAATGTTAATGTAGAAGGTTACCTTATTCGCTTCTCGTACTTTCAAGGCTTCCTCAAAGATCCATAGACCATTTTTCCTGCACACCCTTCTAGGCACACAACGTCCTTACCAAGATCTCTTGATTGACTATATCATTTACTCACCACCACATGTTAAACCTTCTAGGCAGACAACATCCCATCTCAGATCTCCTAATTATCTATATTCTTTACTCACCACCATATTTTATCCAAGCTTCAATTCTTCAATTATCAAACTGGATAAATGCCTCCATACTTCGACAAATTTACTATCCATGCCGAGGAAGAAACCAGCAATGTTGAGAAAAATTTGTTGATATCCATGTTGTAATGCGTCATAGCTTATCTTCAATATCTTTTGGACATCTCTATGAGGTTCTTCAAATATTTTCTTATTAGATTAAACAAACAAATATGAACCTATAACCTCAAGAGCTAAAGGAAGTCCTCTAGATTTACCCTAAGAGGCACTTTGAGGATAGTAATACTTGCAGTCTAATCCAAATTCCACCTTTGATTAAATACAGCTTCATATCCAGACGTGACAATGATCCTGCTTCCCGACATAAACCAATTATGTTCTTTGGTCGAAACAAGCAGTTGACACTTATGATTTACATCATGGAGAAGAACGTTTAATTCTTTCTTGAATATCTGGAAGGAAGCTGCAATGCACAAATTCTCCGAAGGTGAAAGTGATTTTGCCAATGCCACCAATGCCGTAAATTCCAGTTGTTCGGATTCTGTTGGAAGTAGTGTCCAGCCGTCCGATAATCTTCTTCATATGATCATCAATTCCAACCAAAGTCTCAGGAACATCTACCCGCAAACCTTGTCATAACTCACTCAGAACCGTCTCAACAACTATCCTTACAAATTCTCCTAGGTGCCTATCAAAAAACAGGACAAGATAAATTAAACGATTCTACCGCCATATCAGCAACATATCGCAAAGGATTATAAACAAACTATATTTCGATTCTACCAATGAGGAATTTAGGAATACAGCAGCAAGATCTCATATAAAGAAAGTCAAAAAGTTTAGATGGAGATGAAATCACATACCCATTAGTGATTTTCTCTGATTCCCATCCTTTCAAGAAGCTGACATCTCTGAGCGCCTGTTGCCCTGCCTCCACATCCCTTTGCTCAAAGTACATCTTGTGTGAATGGAAGGCCTCCCCCAACCGCCCCGTCAGGTGTCCCGTGCTCTTCCTGTTCTCCACCGTCTGAACGAGCTCGCGGAGGCACCATTCGCTGGAAGCATGGCTCTCAGATAGGACAGGGATCGAAATCTTGGACCATGCGATCGCGTGCAGAAGCTGCAAGCCGAACTGGCTGCCCATCGGGTGTTCTTGATCTGCGATGCCCTTGCGAGTATCCAAACCTCTGAAGCTCAAGAACACGTCGTACTCATGCTCTGTCGACCCCCAAACTCGTGCTGTCGGCGCTCATCTTCCTCTCGAGCAAAGAGGTGTCCGAAACTAGTGGGGCGTTGCATTTGGTTGGCAACTCTTGGGTTTTCCAAGAAACCATCCGGTTCTCTCTGTGTTCGGAGAAGAAACCCTAGTCTTGGAGGGCGAACTATATAACATGGGAGAATATATACTACAAAAATAGCACCGTACATGATATTTTTAACATTTTCTCCGTCGATCCTTTTGCGAGTTGGAATAATGACGTGGCTGAAATCCAACTATTTTCTTCAACTTCAATTGTAGTCCTATTCGTATTATTCATCTCGCAAGCCCTTTCATCTCCCTAGACAAAACTCTTCGGACCCGTTTGGTTCAATTTTGCAAATGAACTTTGAGAGAATGCAAATACCTTTAGATTAAAATCCCTTGTTGAAATGCAAATGGCATCTAAGGGCGCGTTTGGTAACGCTTCTGTTTCTCTATTTTTCTATTCTTCTGTTCCCTGGAACAAAAAAAGAATAGAAATCCGTTTGGTAACGCAATTTATTTTTCTATTTCCTGGAATAGAAAAGTGGCCAAGAAATAGATTCGGAGCAGAAATAAGAAGTAGAAAAAATCTACTTCTTTGTTCCTAGAAATAGAAATAGAAATAGAAAGGTCCGGTCCTCAAGTCGCGACCTTAGCTCCTCCTCCATCCTCCGTCGTCTACAAACCGTCTCAAAGCACCGGTCCGGTCCATTCTCGGCGGAAATAATAAAAAAATTATAAAAAATTAAAAAATTCCAAAAATTCATAAAAATCAGAAAAATTCTCAAAAAATCCATAAAAATCAGAAAAACTCAGAAAACCCATAAAAATTTGCAAAATTCCGAAATTGAAAAAATTTTAAAAAATTCATAAAAAGCCTTCTGGAAAATAAAAAGAGACAAATTTCGGGAAAGTAAAAAGTTTTAATAAACTTTTCCCCAAAAAAACAAAAATAAAAAATTCACATAATGGCTTAGAATAAATTAAAAAATTCCGAAAATTCATAAAAATTAGAAAAATTTCAGAAAAATCCCATAAAAAATTAGAAAATTAAAAAATTCCCAAAATTCATATAAATCAGAAAAATTCTCAGAAAATCCATAAAAATCAGAAAACTCAGAAAACCCTTACATATTTGCAAAATTCCGAAATTGAAAAAATTAAAAAAAAAATTCATAAAAAAATTTCGGAAAAATAAAAAGAAAAAGATTTAGGGAAAGTAAAAATTTTTAATAAATTTTACCCCAAAAAAATATAAAAAAATTCACATAATGGCTTAGAATACCTGTGGCCACCCACTTTGAGTGAAATTTAAATTTTTGAGGTGCCCAAGTGGTATTTTTGAAGATTCCTTAGTTTAGGGATTAAAAGGGGTTTTAAACCCATAAAAAGGATTAGACAAACCAATAAATCATGCTTATTGATTTTTTTCACTTATAAATTGTACTTATAGTTAAATAAAAGATATAGATTTGAATGCAAAAAATTGGAAATAGAAATTTTGTGCAGTTACCAAACGCATTTCTGTTCTTTTTCTATTCCAGGAATAGAAATTTTGTGCAGTTACCAAACACATTTCTGTTCTAGAAATAGAAATTTTGTTCAGTTACCAAACGCATTATTTTGCTCAGAAACTCTTCCAGGAAATAGAAATAGAAAAAACTATTTCTGAAAAGAAATTGTTCCCAGAAATAGAAACGTTACCATACGCACCCTAATAAAATATTCTTTGTGAAGTTATTTTTGGGCCAAGTAGTATTTGGTTTTTTTTTTTTTTGCAAAGGGCTTTGAGATCCTTTTTTTATTAAAAAAAAAGTTACCCTTCGCCGGAGCCGGCGAGCCAAATCTGGTGTCGGCGGTCGTCATCCGAGGTCGGGCGACCCCCGGCGAGGGTTGCGTGACCCAGGCAGCCCTCGCCGAGGGTCGCTCGACCTCAGGTGACAAGGCCTGAGGTCGCGCAACCCCAGGTGGGCGTCGACCTAGGTGGAGCGACCTCAGGCTGCCGTCGCCTGGGGTCGCTCGACCCAGGTGACGACCGCTTGGGATCGCATGACCTAGGCCGACGACGCCTGGGCAGTCGCGCGACCCCAGGTGGCCGTCGCCGGGGTCGAGTGACCTCACCTACCCCTCGCCGGCTCTTTGTCGTCCAGATTCGATGTCGTTAGCCATCCTTTTGTGAAGCTCAAATGCTTGAGCTCAAGCTCTTCAAACTTGAGGCGATGGCGGCTAGATCAAGAGTCTCATGGTCAAGGACACTCTATGCCGAGTCTTGTAGCCACCATGGCCATGGAGCGGCATGGTTGACATATCTAAAGCCCGCGACCGTGGATGCTTGAGCTTGAGCTTGCGGCAACCATGGTTGCTTGATCCTCGAGCTCCTGGCCTCGCGGCATGGCCACTCAAGCTCTGAGCTCGTGGCCTTGTGTCACGGAAAAAAGTTTTTCATGTTATTAATCCAAATGATCGCCACATCATCAATCCAAATGAGTTTTTTAGAATCGTTAGATTGATGAGGGGATTCGATCTCTACCATTAGATTTATTTGACAAGGATTGATGCCTTCGACCGTTGGATAAATTCAATCTCCACTATAGGACTAATGTAATGATGATCAATAGTCAACACCATCGATCAAGTGGATCTCTATCCGTCAAATTGAGTAGACGATGATTAACATCATTTACCGTAGATATCATGTAATTAGAGGAACTCTTGTATAAATAGGGGAGCTCTTCCCCTCACTTATATCATTCACTTTTATTTGAACAATAAAACCATTCTCTAAATTTTTTCTACTTTGTGAGAGTAAGGCTTACTTAGGCCAAACAAAGTGATTTAAGGTCTACGTGCCGCACGGTTCACAATCGAAAGCATCGTCCTATGACATATGGATGATGCTCGAGCGCAAGGTCGTGTCAAGTACTGTGACAATCAATGTCATTAATGTCGACGGCCAGGATTTTGTTTGTTGTTTTAATTTTTTTAAAACTCTAATTCTACTCATTTGACCACATCAGCTTTTCTATCGCTGACCCATCTTTTATGGTCTCAAACTTAGCCAATGGTCCACGTCGGCCACAATCATTTGGAAAAGAAAACGAGAGAATTAACCGAAAATTCAAAAAATAATTTTTTTCTTCGTTTGCTCTTGCTGGCTATTGATATAATGTGAAGGTTCGAAGCAATCTTAGTTGATAACTGAGAGCAAGATTTAACTAAAGCGTGTAGTCAACTTCCATGACCAACTTCCCAGTGATCTTTCAATTTTGCAAGACATGGGAGGAAACAGCAGCATCCGGTCAAGAAAGACTCTAGTCAAGCAGACAACACAGTGTGTTAATAAATCTCAGCAAAAAGTTGGTAGACTACTGGCTTCATTTGCCTTTGTTATGTTACATGAATCATCTCGACATGGTTAATTGGCAATGAAAGTATATGACTCAACACAGCATTGCCTCTGGTACATGATCATTCTATCATTAGAACCAGAACATGTTTAATGACACTATAGGAGGTTGTGGCCTAAGAGGTTTGCTCTATGATATCCCGGTATTCGCCGCAGTGAGTTGTGTCCAGAAATATCCAAGGTCTTTAGCGGCTTCAAATCCAGGACAAATTCACAACAATCTCTGCTAACAATTGCTCTGGATATTCAAATTTTGAGTCGTGTCGCTCAACATTTAGCTTTTCGCAGTAAAGAGAAGCTGATGTTTCACTTTTTTAAGGTGTCAGAGCAAGATAACTCTGGTAATTTTTCAATGGCCCTGTACCAAGAGATATCCATCTCTTCCAAGAAATCCAAACTATCAACACCTCTAAAATCAGGTAGATTGTTGCGGCCTCTAGCAATTAATTCTAAGATGTTTTAATTGTTGAAAACTCCAATCTTTTGATGGACGAACAACAAGCGATATGCAGTTCTTCCATGAACTCCAACTCATAAAGGCCTCAAATCTCAACTAGATTAAAGCAAGATGTGATCTCTGGCTGTCTCAGACGATTTAATACTAAAAGGTCCAGTAGAATTTCAATGGACTTGCACATACTGATACTCAATCCTTCCCGGTAATTCAATCTGTCAAGCCCTCAAAAGTAAGCTAACTCTTTCAGTCTCAATTTATTGGTTGGAGATATCAGTACTTCAGGACCATATTTCAATCAGCTCATTAGCATTCTTTTAGCTCCAATTCATGCGAACTTAGCACATTCCCAAAGAAGAAGCTTTATTAGTCTCGGGGAATTATCTGGGAGGCATGCCAGCCATGAGCTTGACTGAAGAGTCCGTTCCTTTAAATGGATTATACGAGATAGCTACAAATGGGCGACTCTTGCAGGTGACTCGCAGAAGTGTTTAATCCTGAAGGAAGCTCCGGCAGCAATTGAAGCTTGTAGCAGTACCCTAAACCAAGATTATAAAGAGAAGAAAGCTTATGGATGCTTTCCGGAAGCAACTGAAGTTCCCTGTAACCCTGTACAAAGTGTTGGAGAGAAGAAAGATTTCCAATGCTTTCTGGTAAGTCAGAGATGGGTGTATACTCTAACTCAATCCTATTGAGGAAAGACGAGCAACTGATTCTCTTGAAATTCCCCCAGCAATTTAACGCAGAACAAGGCACTAAACTCTTGAAGCTTGACCAACCTGCGAATAGCATTGGGTAACTTTCTTATCTTTGTAAATTTTCTAAAGATTCAGGTAACTCCATAATGCTCGAACTGGACAAGTTTAGTTTAAAACATTCCCATTGAGTCAAAATCTTTCTCAATGAATTTTATAATGATAAATGGTGCAGTTTCATGAGGAAGCCAATGGCCTCCAGAAGTTGAGTGAAATTTGTATAGAAACTCAAGTCAAGGGTTGACAAATTTACGAGATTACTTATTGAGTCAGGGAATCCAATAATGACTGACAATACTTGTCATTAAGAGTATCCAACTTCTTCAGAGAACCTGAAAATGTAGAAATTTCTAGTATAGCTGATCAATCCTCCGGATTCTTGCAGTCCCTCAAGTCCAAGGAAACGAGGCTCTTGACCTTTCCGATAGAAGAGTGAATTCGTTCCCATGAGTTGCATCGTTTGAAGATTTGAGTCTCCAAATTTGTAAAGGAGTACACCCTGAATATGCACAACCAATAAGCTTGAGAACTTTTAGCTGCTTTGCCATCTAGAGGAATGAAGATATTTTGGGATTAGCTATTGAAAACAAGTGGACTTAAAAATATAGAGAAGAGGATGTGCTTTTCCATCTTACCATGACCGAACTCCATCCTCCACAGACCTCTGAAGTAGTGCTCCGCGACAAATCTGAGTACAACTAATTTTCCGATATGAAGATTGTTTGCGACAAAAGATGTAGGGCAAGTCACAAAAGCCATCTTAATTCAAATAATAATTTCTTCAAATCTCCACTAAAATTCACACCTCTTGCTTAAAGGAACCTTAAGTTCTACAAATTTTGAAACTTTTCACTTTTGTATACTCGACACCCGCGGTCAACTATATCATCTGTGCCATCTCTCTCAAAACAAATGGCCTGAACCTTTTTAGAACCCTACAAGCAAAACACTGGATATCATTAATATTGCATCATATGTTAGAGAAAAAGTTCAGGCCAACACAATGTATATGACATATTACTTAACAATTTCCTCGCATATGAAGCTTTACACATGAAACCATATTTGAACGTTAACACATCACACAGACAACTGCAGACCAAAAAACAAGCACAATAAAAACAGTAACAGACATAACAAACACAAGGAGTGCCAAGATTAGAACTTGTGACCCGTTCTGATATCATTCTAGACAAACCTTTTTTCTTTAAAGGTTAAGCTGTTAAAAAACAAGCCAATAATATACAGTAACAAAGCCAACTAAAAGTGAACTGATTATCTACTTTTCTCATAATATCGCGATTAAGGTCACTCATTGTAAATTTTGCAATATGGAAAAAGAGTCACTAGTTGACATCTTTTAATGTGCTTATCACATCGAGCATCTGTTTGGTAAAGCTGTGGCTGTGTTGTAGTTGTTCGCGTTACGACTGGAGTGAAGCATTGTAATTTATGTGCTTAGAAATACATGTTTTAAAGCTGCAACATCCCTCCAGCTTCTTTACATTTACTACTAGAAATTTTTTATAAGGGCATTTAGAAAAGAGGTCAGGAGAAATAGCCTAGAAACAGGAGCGCTCTTGCCATTATGCAAGTTAATAGGTAAGAAGTATTAAATAACAACAGATGTTACATATTGGATTGAATAGATACATTAGAGCTAAGAGAGTAGGGATAAATGTTAATGTAGAAGGTTACCTTATTCGCTTCTCGTACTTTCAAGGCTTCCTCAAAGATCCATAGACCATTTTTCTTGTTCACCCTTCTAGGCACACAACGTCCTTACCAAGATCTCTTGATTGACTATATCATTTACTCACCACCACATGTTAAACCTTCTAGGGAGATAACACCCCGTCTCATATCTCCTAATTAACTATACTCTTTACTCACCACCATATTTTATCCAAGCTTCAATTCTTCAATTATCAAACTGGATAAATGCCTCCATACTTCGACAAATTTACTATCCATGCCGAGGAAGAAACCAGCAATGTTGAGAAAAATTTGTTGATATCCATGTTCTAATGCGTCATAACTTATCTTCAATATCTTTTGGACATCTCTATGAGGTTCTTCCAATATTTTCTTATTGGATTAAACAAACAAATATGAACCTATAACCTCAAGAGCTAAAGGAAGCCCTCTAGATTTACCCTAAGAGGCACTTTGAGGATAGTCATACTTGCGGTCTAATCCAAATTTCACCTTTGATTAAATACAGCTTCGTATCCAGACGTGACGATGATCCTGCTTCCCGACATAAACCAATTATGTTTTCTGGTCGAAACAAGCAGTTGACACTTATGATCCACATCATCGACAAGAATGTTTAATTCTTTATTGAATATCTGGAGGGAAGCTGCGATGCACAAATTCTCCGAAGGTGAAAGTGATTTTGCCAATGCCACCAATGCCGTAAATTCCAATTGTTCGGATTCTGTTGGAAGTAGTGTCCAGCCATCCAATAATCTTCTTATGATCATCAATTCCAACCAAAGTCTCAGGAACATCTACCCGCAAACCTTGTCGTAACTCACTCAGAACCGTCTCAACAACTATCCTTACAAATTCTCCTAGGTGCCTATCAAAAAACAAGACAAGATAAATTAAACGACTCTACCGCCATATCAGCAACATATCGCAAAGGATTATAAACAAACTATATTTCGATTCTACCAATGAGGAATTTAGGAATACAGCAGCAAGATCTCATATAAAGAAAGTCAAAAAGTTTAGATGGAGATGAAATCACAAACCCATTAGCGATTTTCTCTGATTCCCATCCTTTCAAGAAGCTGACATCTCTGAGCGCCTGTTGCCCTGCCTCCACATCCCTTTGCTCAAAGTACATCTTGTGTGAATGGAAGGCCTCCCCCAACCTCCCCGTCAGGTGTCTCGTGTTCTTCCTGTTCTCCACCATCTGAACGAGCTCGCAGAGGCACCATTCGCTGGAAGCATGGCTCTCATATAGGACGGGGATCGAAATCTTGGACTGTGCGATCGCGTGCAGAAGCTGCAAGCCGAACTGGCTGCCCATCGGGTGTTCTTGATCTGCGATGCCCTTGCGAGTATCCGACCCTCTGAAGCTCAAGAACACGTCGTACTCATGCTCTGTCGACCCCCAACTCGTGCTGTCGGCGCTCATCTTCCTCTCGAGCAAAGAGGTGTCCGAAACTAGTGGGGCGTTGCATTCGGTTGGCAACTCTGGTTTTTCCAAGAAGCCATCCGGTTCTCTCTGTGTTTGGAGAAGAAACCCTAGTCTTGGAGGGCGAACTATATAACATGGGAGAATATATACTACAAAAATAGCACCGTACATGATATTTTTAACATTTTCTCCATCGTTCCTTTTGCGAGTTGGAATAATGATGTGGCTGAAATCCAACTTTTTTCTTCAACTTTAATTGTAGTCATATTCGTATTATTCATCCCGCAAGCCCTTCATCTCCCTAGACAAAACTGTTCGGCCCGTTTGGTTTAATTTTACGAATGAGCTTTTGTAGAATGCAAATACCTTTAGATTAAAACCCTTGGAAAAATGCAAATGGCATCTAATAAAATATTCTTTGTGAAGTTATTTATGGGCCAAGTAGTGTTTGGCTATTTTTTTTTTTTTGCAAAGGGCTTTGAGATCCATTTTTTATTAAAAAAAAAGTTATCCTTCGCCGGAGCCGGCGAGCCAAATCTGGCGTCGGCGGTCGTCGCCCGAGATCGGCCGACCCCTGGCGAGAGTTGCGTGACCCAGGCGGCCCTCGCCGAGGGTCGCTCGACCTCAGGTGACGAGGCCTGAGGTCGCGCGACCCCAGGCGGGTGTCAGCCTAGGTGGAGCGACCTCAGGCAGCCGTCTCCTAGGGTCGCTCGACCCAGGTGACGACCGCTTGGGGTCGCATGACCTAGGCCGACGGTGCCTGGGCAGTCGCGCGACCCCAGGTGGCCATCGGCGGGGTCGGGTGACCTCACCTGCCCCTCTCCGGCTCTTCGTCATCCAGATTCGGTGTCTTCGGCCATCCTTTTGCGAAGAAGATGAACAGTAACAACAAGGGTCAAAACTGGAATATTAAAAAATAAGTAAGGGTAGTTTGGGAAGAAAAAAATTAGGTTCAGCATTTGCTAAATGCTAAGAGCTCAAAGTTGGTCTGGACCATCTTTGAACTTTGAGCATTCCTAATACTTGCTTTCGGCCGAAAACCCATTGGGAATGCTTGCCAAACGCCCTAACATTTCCCCAAGAAGCTTTCAAGGACGAAAGCCCCGTGGGAAAGCTGAACCAAATGGGACCTTCATCTCCCAAAACACTCTTCCCTCTTTTGAAGCTCTCCTGTAGGCTCTCAGTTGCCTTTACTTTTCTTTTCTTTGTTTTGATTGTTTTTTTTTCCTCTCCCAATCTGTTTTGGAAGATTGTATGTGTGAATAAATTTCTGCAGTTGATGTCGGGTGAATGTGAAGTGTAAACGTGAAGTGTAGTTTGGCCATTCATCCAGTTGATAGCCATCGAGGAAGATGTCCGTGACGTAACTTCATAACCTCTCCACGATTAAGCTACTCTTCTCTCTCAATTTAAATTTAGGTATAGATACAGGGGTTTTACTCTCTTTTTAGATTTAGATTTAGGTTTAGATCTAGGAATTCCTTAGAGGTATTTGATCCGTGTTCTCTCAACATATTGACGTTGGTGTATCTGCATGGCAATGGTGATGAGGACGTTGAACCTAGACGCGCACCGCAAGCTGTTGCGAATGAAGTGGAAGATCTCGGTGTGTGCTCATCATTGAATCCGATCTACTGTTGAGGGATGAGAGTGTGCTTTTAACTGCAGACTCTGTTTTGTGCTTTGTTATTTGAATTCTAGTCTTTGCTTTGTTCCATAATTATTTGGGATTTGCTTGGCTTGTATGCCTTCTATGTACCTCTCAGATATTATTATGATGAAATGAAATCTTTCTTTCGATCTAAAAAAAATGAAATCCTAAATTATTATTATTTTTCAATTTAGTTCATAAACTTGAAAAACCCCACTCAATATGGTCCTTCTATTAGAAATTTTAACACAGTTAGCTGACATGACCGTAATACGTTACATTTGCCATACTGATACCAGGGTGGCAAACGTAGTGTTTCCACGTCAACTCTTTATCGGCCCAAAAAGAAAGTTAAAAATAAGAGAGGAAGAAATATTTGCTGACTTAAGACAATGGTGTGACAGTTCGCATTATTATTTTGGTCTAATAGATGTCGACGAAGTGGTCCATTTCTGAAAAATTAACACAGTATGGCGATACGCTTAACAAAATGACTATATGGAATGGAGTGTACATATTCAGGGATTAAATTGAAAAAAAAAAGTTCAAGGACTATATTAAATTATGGAAAAAAAGTTTAGGGACTGCCCCATGTCATTATCTATTGGGTTAATACCACGAAAAACCCTAAACTGGTACACTTGTGACACATTTACCCCAAACTATTTTTTTGACCATAAAAAATCACAAACTGGTACACCTGTGACAATTTTACCCCGAACATACCACAAAAAACCCCAAACTGGTACACATGTGACAATTTTACCACGAACTAATTTTTAATATTATTTTTTTATTTTTTTGAATTTTTTCTTTTTTCTTTTCTTTTCTTTTTTTTTCCTTCACCTTCAACCTCTGGCTAGTCCGGCGACCGGCGAGAGGCGGAAGCCGACTAGGGCCGCCCTCGCCGGCGTCGGGCTGCCCTCGCTCGACGCAGGTGAGGGTCGCCCTCGCCGGATGCGGCGAGGCGACCCTCGCTGCGTCGAGCGAGGCCGTCCTCGCTTGCCCGGGCGAGGGCCGTCCTGCCCGGCTCGGGCGAGGGCGGCCCTCGCCCGAGCAGCGAGGTCGCCCTCGCCAGATCCGAACGTTGGGCGAGGCGGCCCGGCAGCCGGCGAGGGCGGCCCGGCGGCGCTATGCCGAGGCGGCCCTCGCCGATACCGGCGAGGGCGACCCTCGCTGCGTCGGGCGAGGTCTCCCTTGCCACGGGCGGGCGAGGACGGCCCTCGCCCGATGCCGGCGAGGGCGGCCCTCGCCGACGCGCAGGCGAGGGTCGCCCTCGCCAGATCCGGCGAGGGCCGCCCTCGCCGGCTTCCGCCTGGTCCGACGACTGGCCAGAGTTTGAAAATGAAAAAAAAGAAAAGAAAAGAATAAAAAATAAAAAAAATTCGAAAAAAATAAAAAATAATAATATTAAAATTTTAATTCAGGGTAAAATTGTCACATATGTACCAGTTTGGGGTTTTTTGTGGTAAGTTCAAGGTAAAATTGTCACAGGTGTACCAGTTTGGGGTTTTTAGTGGTCAAAAAAATAGTTTAGGGTAAAATTGTCACATGTGTACCAATTTGGAGTTTTTTATGGTCAAAAAAATAGTTTGGGGTAAATGTGTCACAAGTGTACCAGTTTAGGGTTTTTTGTGGTATTAACCCTTATCTATTTCAAGTTATGCTTAGTTGGCAAAACAAAGAGGCATTTTATAAGTAGGGATGAGTGGACTAGAAGTCCTAAAACTTGTCACGAAAATACAATTGAATTCTCAAACTTTCAAAAGTGCAATCAATTTCTAAAATTTGTGTAATCATATTTTTTCATTAACACCGTTCAGTTTGGCTAGCGGAAATTACTGACTTAATTTTTTTTTCACTCTCTTACGTAGCTAAAACATAAAGGATAAGGCTAAAACGACAATGGTGAGGCAACGGCGGTGAGGGAGTTTTATGTCCGTCTTCTTTTTTTTTAATTTTTAAATTTAGGTTATTTTTTAGGGAAAACACCACAAAAAATCCAAAACTATGCCACTTGTGACAAATTTACCCCGAACTTTTTTTTTGTGACACGAAAAACCTCAAACTATATCACTTGTGACACATTTACCTCACAATACATTTGTCCATGGGCATTTTCGTCTTTTTCTTTTTTCTGTTTTTTTTCCTTTTTTTTTCTTCTCTCTTCCCCTTCGCCGTGGTCGGCGGAGGGAAGCCGCCGAGGGCGACCCTCGCCCAAAGCTAGCGGCCGCAGAGCTCAAGCTCATGGTAGCCACGACAGCTCAAGATTCAAGATCGCGAGCAAGGCCGCTCCACTCTCTCCTCTTTTCTTTCTATTGTGCCATATCGTGGTATTCATGGCCTTTCTCTCTCTTCTATTCTTTCTATCAATGCCTCTCTCCATCTCTTCTCTTGCCACCTCAAGCTTGCGGCCATGGTCGCTTGAGCTTCAAACTTATGGCCATATTAGCCAGAGCTTCCTCGATCCAGTTTCTTGCAACCCCGTGACCGCAGAGCTAGTGCTCAAGCTCTCACGACAATGGCTGTTCCTGACGTTCATAGTCATGGCCGCTCAAATGCTTTTGAGCTCAAGCTCTTCAAACTCAAGGCGATGGTGGCCAGATCAAGAGTCTCATGGTCAGGGACACTCTATGCAAAGTCTCGTAGCCACCACGGACACGGAGCGGCATGGTTGACATATCTAAAGCCCACGACCATGGATGCTTGAGCTTGAGCTCGAGCTTGCGGCAACCACAGTTGCTTGATCCCCGAGCTTATGGCCTCGCGGCAAAGACACTCAAGCTCTGAGCTCATGGCCTTGTGTCATGGAAAAAAGTTTGTCATGTCATCAATCCGAAGGATCGCCACATCATTGATCCAAAGGGGTTCTTTAAAATCGTTAGATTGACAAGGGAATTCGATCTCTACCATTAGATTTATTTGACAAGGATTCATGCCTTCAACCGTTGGATAGATTCAATCTCCACTATGGACTAATGTAACAATGATCAAGATCCAACACCATCGATCAAGTGGATCTCTATCCGTCAAATTGAGTAGACGATGATTAGCATCATTTACCGTTAGATCACATAAAGATCAATGGTTGTAATTAGAGGAACTCTTGTATTAATAGGGGAGCTCTTCCCCTCACTTATATCATTTGCTTTCCTTTGAACAATATAACCATTTTCTAAGATTTTTCTACTTTGTGAGAGTAAGGCTTACTTAGGCCAAACAAAGTGATTTAAGATCTACGTGCCGCACGGTTCACGATCGAAAGCATTGTCCTATGACATATGGACGATGCTCAAGCGCAAGGTCGTGTCAAGTACTGCGACAATCAATGTCATTAATGTCGACGGGCCAGGATTTTGTTTGTTGTTTTAATTTTTTTAAAACTCTAATTCTACTCATTTGACCACATCAGCTTTTCTATCGCTGACCCATCTTTTATGGTCTCAAACTTAGCCAATGGTCCACGTCGGCCACAATCATTTGGAAAAGAA